GCAAACACTAGCCATATCCCTGCTGCTGGCATGCTGGCATGTCATGTTCTCACACAGAAGAGACCCTGCATTGGTCCCAGAAACATGGGGAAGGTTTTTCTCCAGGATTTGCTTGCTTCTGGAATGTATTCCGAGAAGCTGGAGAGGGTCTAGGAGGTAGCAATGCCCTGGCCCAAGGCATGTGTCAGCTCCTTTACCTCGTGAGCTATGGGACCTGTCCCTCCTACCCCAGTCCTCTGAGTGGCCAGCTGCTCTCCAACAGGGTGACAAGATCCTTGCCCCCACAGAGGGCATGGTCCTGATGGATTCCCATAAGCACGGCTGACTGCCTGTCCCCAAGCACCTGGCCCAGGAATTGTTTGCTTTGGGAGGAGGGGGGATCACAGCCACAGGCATTGCAGTGCCATGAGGCTCCCTCCAGGCCTGTTCTTCCAGCATTTTCTTAAATGATATATTTGGGAGGAACAGGAAGGGCCAGGTCCCATCTGTGCCCATCCAACTGGCTGCAGGGAGTACCTTGGGGACTTGGTTTCATTTAATAGAATGAAATGCTGAGTCTCACAGCAGGACCGGCAGGCAGTGGTACCTTCTCTGCTGGTCCAGGAACTGGGACTTCTCCCCAGTGCCAAGCAGGCTAAAAGGAAAGTTTTAGGTTAGGGGAAAAAAGGCAGAGAAATACAGCAGGTCTTGTTCAGGTCAGATGTCACAGGATCTGCTTCTAGGGGCATTTCAAGAGTGACTGTGATGTGACTCAGGTCCTTTGTCACCAAGACAGTTACACAGTTCCGTGTGCAGCTAATCTGGCCAAGGCTGGGTCCTGCAGGGCTGAGACCTTGGCCTGAGCAGGTATCGGCCCCCAGGGAAAGGCATCTTGGTGTTGACCCTCTGAAAGAGCAAGAGACTCTGGTTCGGGAGAGCCAAACTTTAGACGAGGCATCTTGTAGTCTTCAGCCACGCAGGACTTTTAAGGTCTCAGATTGAAATCTTTGTTTGAGTGTCCAGCAACTCCTCCTTGGTTGGAAGGGGTCTCTCAAGTCCTGAGGCCCCATATCCCATGCTGGGTATCAGGAAAAGACCCTCCTTCCCCCAGGTGTTACTGGTCATGGAAGAAACGGCCCTGCCAGAGACGGGGTAAAATCCACCCATATTTGCAGATGTTTACCAGTGGGACTCCTGGCCTGCATCTCCCCTCTTTGATTCATTTCTACTTTCTTCCTCCCATTCTCCCACAGAAATTTATTTAACACTGTGGTGTGTGTCATGAGCCCGTGTCAAGAATAATCCAAGGAGGCTGCATCCAGCCCTGTGGCTCAGGAATTGGGATCCTTGGCACCTCAGGAGGGTCACTGCCTCTCAGCTTTTCCAGGCCTTTGCTGTGAGCGCTCGTGCACGTTTACTTTTTCAGTGGGCTCCCCAGGCTGTCCAGATTGTCAGCATGGCACTCCCCTGGACTGTTGTTCACAGTTCTGCTTTATTATGCAAGGCAAAAAATAGACCCGTTGTAGTCTGACGTGTGAGCCCAGGAAATACTGCTGAAGAGCGCAGAAGGCATCAAGTAGTCTACTGGCACCCTCAGGACATTCAGTCCTAATCTTTTCTCTTTCAAACCAAACTCAGGCTTCACTCTGCGGCCACTGAAGACAATGGAAAGGGGTTTTTTTTGGCGTATTTTTCCTCCTTTGCTGTGCTTGAGTGTGAGGCCTAATGTTTTAATTAAAAAGTTAGACATGCGAAAACATGTTCTGTCACTGAAAGTCATAATCCTGACAAGTCTGGGCACATCTGGCTCCAGCCACTTGGCAACTGGCAGAAATGCTATTCCTTTTTGGTTATTTTAAAATGTTTGCAGCACCTGGGTACTCCGTTGATCATATCACTCTCCGCAAGACTGGTAGTCTGCCACTTCTACCCTTTTTTTATCTTGCTTCTCTTTGCTCAAGACTGCCAGCATATTTTGTCTATCGCACTACACTTGCCCTGCTGCTTGCACTCTTGCTAATGCAATGCAGGATAAAGGTGGCCGTCTGCTACAAGAGCACCCTGAGGACTTCTTGTCAACTTGCTGTCCACCAGGACCCCAGGTCCTTCCCTGCAAAGCTGCTTTCCAGCCAGTCAGCCCCAGCTTGTCCTGTTGCACGGGGTTATTTCATCCCAGGGACAGGACTTGGTTGAACTCCCCACCTGCTTATCAGCCCATGTTATCAGCCTGTTGCTGCCCCTCTGCTTAGGAGCCCTGCCTTCCAGCACGTCAATGACTCATCCCAATTTGGTATCATCCATGAACTGACTGAGAGCGCACTCTGTTCCCTCATCTAAAGCTTTCATAAAAAGAAACAGCATCGCTTCCAGTATTGACCTCTGAAGAACTCACTGATAACCATTAGTCAATTGGACTTTGCACCATTTTTCTGCACGCCCTGAGCCAGGCAGCCTCCAGCTCATTTCCCACACACTCCATTGCTTACTCCTCCATCCAATGCCTCCCCAGTTTGGCCACACAGGTGCTAGGGAAGACCATGTCAGAGGCCTTCCAAAATTTGAGGCTTACCACATGCATTGCACTCCCCTTGTCCACACAGCCAGTCATCCCATCACAGAAGGCAGCCAGGTTGGTCAGGCACAATTTGCCCTTGAGGACTTCGTGCTGGCTGTTCCCTACCCCTTCATGTGGCTGGAACTAGCTTCCAGAAAGATTTGCTTCCCACGGACTGAGGTGATGCTGACCAGTCAGTCATTCCTCAGAGCCTCTTTCCAGTCCTTCTTGAAGATGGATGTGACATTAGCCTTTTTCCAGTCCTCAGGAACATCCCCTGATTGCCCTGACCTTTCAAAGATGGTCGTGAGCAGCCTAGCAAGGTTAGTCAGCTCCCTCAGTAACCTAAGAAATTGCAACTCAATATAAGCAAAAGAGTTTTCCTCATGAAGGTGGTCCAAGACTGGACCAAGGGCAGCTGTGGGACCTCCATTCCTGGAGATGTTCAAAGCTCACTGGGACACAGCCTTGAGCGACCTGCTCTAACCTGGCCTGCTTTGCATGGGAGGTTGGACTAGAGACTTCTGGAGGTCCCTTTCCCACCTGAATTGCTCTGTGATTTCATAAATGGAAAGACCCGAGCCACAGAGACAGGCTCTGCCTCTCCAGCAGGCTACCCTCCAGCAGACGATGGGGAGAGCCCTTTGCCTGCCCCACATGCCCTTATCCCCCTCTGTCTCCACCATGGGACACAGCCTGAGTCTAGGACCAGGCCCAGCTGAGGTCTTCACTGCTGGCTGCTCCCCTGTGAAGGAAGGCAACCCTGATGTTCCCAGCATGGAGCGGATGTCAAAGCAGCAGTTGGAGCCCAGCTGGCCTGATGGTCTCGTCCCTCCCAGCACAGTCATGAGGCCCCAAGAAGGGCTGCTCACCATGTCCCACTGTTTCCCATGCTCCCCATATCCCTGTGTCCCTTCCCAGGCCTGGCGCTGGCAGGCTACTCTGGCCCAGGACAGCTCCATCTCCTTGCGAGGGGGTGGGAGCGTGGGAGTAGCAGGCTGGGGGGTCCGAGCTGCAGGTGGCGATGGCCCTGCCAGGCCAGGAGCTGCATGGAGAGGCTGGGCCTGCTGCCTGGATGGGGCTGGAGCCCCGACCTGGAGGGAGGTGGGAGGGCCAGGGGCCAGGCAATGGCAGCGGGGCTGTGCCAGCTCCTGCTGCACTGTTGGTCCCTGTAGTGTGGGGAGAGGGGACAGCAGATGAGGCAGCATGGGGGTGGTGGGTTGGCAGCAGCGGGGGGGCAGTGAGGGCTGCAGCGCAGGGTCGTGGATGGTGTTTCTGAAGTGCAGTGGCATTCATACCACAGCCCAAGCCCCCCTGAAGGCACAGCAGCTCTGGGGGGCCGTGTGTATGTTAGCTGCCCCATCAGCCTCCAACCTGGAACTGGACCCAGTGGCACAAGGACACAGAGGACAGTGACACTCTTTGTCCCTTTTCTTGTCTCCGGAAGATTCCCTACCCCTAGGCTACCTGCAGCCCCCTGTGCCAGCCCCTCTCTCCAGGACAGCACAAGAGTCCCTGCCCTGGGGCTCCTCGGGCAACTCCTACTGACCCAGCATACACAGAAATAGATTTCTCTTTCTTACTTATTCCTCCTTGCAATCTCACAATTGCTCCTCTCTTCTTCTCCAGGGATGTTCCTGCTCCCCAGAGACCCTTTTCTCAGGTAAGTGCATCAGTGCTGGCCTGCCTGGCCATTCCTGGACCCTCCCCCATGCTCCCCGCATGGCCCTGAGCTGGCAGTGCTGCTCTGCAGAGCAAGCAGGCTGTGGTGCCCCAGGGCCACAGCATGACTCCGCACTGGCCGTGGTGGTCAGGGGAGGAAGCAGACCCAGCCAGGTGGGCATCATTGCACCTGACAATCTGCTACCAAGGGGTCTGTGGCCGTGGATGATGCTCTGAGCAATCACAGGGCATTTCAAATGGCTCAGGCTTGTGTTCAAGTGTGTCCCTAGATCTAGCCCTTGGTTTTTCAGTGAAGGTGACATGAACCTTCCCTGTGCCTGCAGGGTCTCCACTGTGGGCATCTGTCACCAGCCCTGTCATACGGGAGACAGTCCCAGGCAGATACTGTTTGACTGTTCAGCACCTGCAGTAGCACTGGGCACCCACAAGTCGGAGCTGAATCCAGCCCTCATTCCCTAACATATCACTTATGAGCTCATCACCTTGAGCCCATGCAGAGTCACAGAAAAGCAACAAGCCCTTTCAGGGTAAAAGTCCTTGAGTGCATTCTTGGCCTTACTGTTGGAAGAAGAACCCACCCTTCAAACGCTGCTCTATGGAAATCTCCTTTTATTACAGAGATGCTGGCTCTGACACAGTAGTAGACATATTTACAGGAAGCCCCTGGGTCAGACAGATTCACTTCACACCTCTGGAGAAGTGGGATGAATTAAACACTTCTTTACAAACATGATTATGATACAGAGAATGCCCAAAGCACAAGAGTTGCCAGAGAATTTAGAAATCAGCTGTGAAGAGAGACAGGTAGCTTATCCTGTTGAATCACTACCACCTGAACCACTTTCTTCAATGCCTCCTTGAGCTCCCTGTTCCTCATGCTGTAGATGAGGGGGTTCACTGCTGGAGGCACTACTGAGTACAGAACGGCGAGCACCAGATCTAGAGCAGGGGAGGAGATGGAGTGGGGCTTCAGGTAGGCAAATGTACCAGTGCTGACAAACAGGGAGACCACGGCCAGGTGAGGGAGGCACGTGGAAAAGGCTTTGTGCCGGCCCTGCTCAGAGGGGATCCTCAGCACAGATGCAAAGATCTGCACATAGGACAGCACAATGAAAACAAAACACCCAAAGAATAAAGAGATACTAAACACAAGAAGCCCAACTTCCCTGAGGTAAGAGTCAGAGCAGGAGAGCTTGAGGAGCTTGGGAACTTCACAGAAAAACTGGTCCACTGTGTTGCCTTGGCAGAGTGGTATTGAAAACGTATTGGCAGTGTGCACCAAAGCATTGAGAAAACCACTAGCCCAGGCAGTTGCTGCCATTTTAACACAAGCTCTGCTGCCCATGAGAGTCCCGTAGTGCAGGGGTTGGCAGATGGCAACAAAACGGTCGTAGGCCATGACTGTGAGGAGTGAAAACTCAGCTGAAATCAAGAAGAAAAACAAAAATATCTGGGCAGCACATCCTGAGTAGGAAATGACCCTGGTGTTCCACAGGGAATTGGCCATGGATTTGGGGACAGTGGTGGAGACAAAGCCAAGGTCAAGGAGGGAGAGATTGAGGAGGAAGAAGTACATGGGGGTATGGAGGTGGTGGTTGCAGGCTATGGCTGTGATGATGAGGCCATTGCCAAGCAGGGCAGCCAGGTAGATGCCCAGGAAGAGCGAGAAGTGCAAGAACTGCAGTGCTCGCATTTCTGTAAACCCCAGGAGGAGGAACTCGGTGAGGGAGCTGCTATTGGGCATTTTCTGCCTCTAGGCATGGGGAACTGCGCAAAGAGGAAAAGATATTGACAAGTTAGGACAAGCTTTTTTGAATAAAACCCACATATTTTCCCATACCAAATCCCCACATTTTCTCTCTCCTTACTAGGGGGACTTTGCTTCAGCTCCCTTGTTTGAGCTTTAGTTCATGCTTTCTGAGTGTGTCGTGAGGAGCAGGGGCCTCTGCCCACAGGCTCCAGAGCAATCAGCGCTGATTTTTACACAGACACTCAGACTCACATTCCCCAAACAGGATGATTTGCCACTGTCTGATGGCAAAGGATCCTTGCAACTGTGTTATCTGCTGGCTTGGGTGAGACTCAGAAGCTATTGCTTTGCTCAGTTCTTCTAACCCAGCTGCCTGTGGATCTGCATGACCACCGAGCACATGCATAATTCACTGCTGTTTTTAAAACTTCTGGTCTGTATCTACATCAATGACCACTTGCTCCCACTCCATGCAAGGGAGGAACACAGGCATATGAAGGCAGGGGTGATCCAACCCATTGCAGAGGTTTCCATTTCACTAAGATAGATCCTATCCTCATATCAATTTATCATATGCACTACATCTGCAGTCATAATAGGAGTTGGGGGGTGGGGAGAGACAGGCAAGTGCTGTGTCCACATCCTCTCTCGGATTAAGCCTACTCATAATGTGGAAGGGCTTTTCAATCTGTTCACAACCCATTCTCCAGTAGATGGGCTGTAGCAGAGGGACTTAGTTATATATTTATTTATATTTATAGAGGCATTCACCACACATGAGGCGTGTTTCTTTGAGGAATAGAAATCTTTGGCTTTTCCATTACTAACAGCCTGAACCCTAGCAAATCCTGTGCAGCAAAACTGTTCGGTTTAGTGCATTGCCCAAAAGATGATGTCTCCTTAGGGGGAATTGGTGCATTCCCCAGCCCCATAGACTGCACTGCCCAAAGCCCCACAGATTGGAAAGGATCTTGGACCTCTTCCCTCCATGCAAACATCTCCAGATGGGCACTCAGGAAAGCATTCCTCTTACCCAGCTGTGAAGACCACCTTACACATGAGATTTTTTTTGCTCTCAGCCACCGTGTCACACATCTTCTGTCCTGGAGGTCAGGCTGCAGAGGAGGTGGCTTATGTCCTGGATTCAGTACTATAGTCTATATACTCAGTTTATATACTAACTTCTCACTGTTATTTCTCATATTCCAAGGAAGAAGATATGTCCTCCCTGCTCAGAGGATGCCTCTAGTATGGCATCCAACTATAAGCTATCCAGTTGATAGTTTACCTATCCACTTGTAAATCGTAACTATAGAAGAAAAATGTTCTCTCAGACTTTGGTGCTCTTTGGAAGAGGGCATTTCAGCTAAATAAGAAATACAATTACATTATTTTGTTGTGTGAAATACACTACTTACTTACACAAAAAAGTAAGATAACCTTCTGCGTCAATGAACACCCTGAGATCTTCCATCATCTTCCTGTCAGCCATTGCTTTGTCATACTGCTCCTGCAGGACTAATACAAAGTTGCACCTGTAAGAGCAAAGAAAAGTGAGTTTGAAACAATAAACATAACCCGTAAGGTATGTTAATATAGAAAACATATAGCAACAGAGTCAAAAGAAACAATAAATATAACCAGTAAGATTTGTTAATATAGAAAACATAGCGACACATTTTCTGGGGCTGCACAATGCATGCAAAAGAACGCCTGATGTGCCACAAGATCTGGTCCAAGAGCACTGGTTGGCGGGTGAGCTGTTTCGACAGGGTGACCCTCCTTGTAATAATCTATGAGTAGGTGTGCTATTCATTTGGGAAGAGGGAGGAGAGTGCTTCACTGGGCTTCCTCCCTCTTCCCAAATGAACAGCAGGAATTTCCCCTCAGGTAAGACCAGCCTATACCTTCCTCTTCAGAGGTCTCCTTCAGAAAAATGTCCTGGGTGTGAGCTAGAGATGTGAGAGCAGCCCTAACCCATGCAATACCCTCTCCCCATGCTAGCACTCTCTCAATAGGAGAATGAACCTGCCCCGCCAAGGGTCAATCCTCCCACCCAGAGCTTCTCTCCGCACAGCCACGAGGAGTTCCCTGGATAGGATGAGTGCTGACCCTTGCAGGCAACAGACTCACTGCCCTGGGAAAACACAGCACCCTGAGGTGCAGGGACACTGCTCTCAATTACAGCCCAGAGCAGACCTCGGTGCACTCCCTGGCTTCACACCCCTGTGCCATCCCTGGGAGAAGGTAGCCATGATGCCTGGTTCCTCTGACAGTGCAGCTGGGAACCTCTGCTCTAAAGCACAACCTGCTTCAAACAGCAGAAGCTGGGAAAGCCACCATGACAGACCCTGTCAGCTATGGAAGGTGCCAGCTTTAGAAGAACCATCCAGGAACCACAGCAACGTTGCCCACAGCCAGAGACTTACTGTATTAAGGGCTGAGAAGACTTCTCCCAACAGTGAGCTCTCAGACGTCCTCCCATTCCCAACTGCCTTTACCTTCTAAGTAAGTCTCTCATCTCATCCTGGTACCTGCAGGCAGTGCTCTGAGTCTTGCTGCTCCTTTAAGAGGAGCTGCACCTGGACAGAGCTGTCTCTCTGCAGTGCCTACCAGGTTGCCATGGGCTTCCACAGTCCCAGGAGCCAGGCCCAGCTCAGGAGCAGAGGCCCAGCTGAAGATGTGACTTTCTCTGTCCCTTGTCAACCCTCAAGACATTCCCGAGGCACCAGGGCTTGCAGTTCCTGAAAGGCTGCGTGATCACCCTGGGAAATGTCCACTGAAGTAGATTAAAATAACCACTGAAAGTCTCTCTCTAAACAGTGGAGAGAGACTGAATCCAGCACTGCAGTTTGTCTCATCACAGAATGGTTATCTACGAGAGGTGGAAATGTCCCTCTCTAGAAAGCCCTGTTCCCATCTAATAAGTAGACAGGACACCTAGGCAGGGCAAGAAGGGAGTTCATTTACTCATGCGTCAGTGATCGATTTAGAGGAATCGAGCTAGGTATCTAACACTGATTTAGAAGCTCCTGGGATGAAATAGGATTCAGTTCCTGCCTGTGCACTCCACAAACTCACAGGAGATGGGATTCCCCTCCCCAGGTTTTGGGGTGCACAGAATGGCTGTCTGCTCCTTGTCTCAGCTCCCATTGTGATCAGTGGAGGAGAGGGTGGGAGTCAATTATTCATACACAAGCAGCTTCTGACATCTATTAATGTAATTCAGTGCAGACACTTGATTTAGTGCAATGACAATAGGTCTGCATGGGGTGCATGGGGCATCTAGCACAACTACCATGTTCCCAGCAGATACAGCACAGAACCCACAGGAAAATCATGCCCTTTCAGAGTGGTTGCTGGGCAAACAACCCAGGCGTCTCGAATTTCCTACCTATTCCCAAACAAGGGATTCCCACCTCTGCACTTAGGCAAAGTCCAGCCCATCCAAGCATACTGCAAAGATGGAAGGCACATCATACCAAGGTCTCCATGACTACTCATCCAGACTACACACTCAAGCCTCATTAGTTCTCCTCTCTCTAAACCACTTCTGATACCCAATGATATGGGCAGGGACTGTGCTAACGATGCAGCCACAGCATGGCTGGATTGCAGGCTGGATTGCTCTCTTAGTGGGTGTCTCATATCATCATTGCATCCCCGTCTGCTGTCTACATCAGCATGTCTCTCCTCTGAAGCTGGGCCTTTGTGTACGCAGGGCCCTGGGTTCTTGGGAACAAGTTTCACCGAGACAAATCTATGCTCAGCCCTAGTGCCACAGCCAAGGTTCTGCAGCCCAAAAATACGCAAATGCACAAAGCATGGGTTCCAAATAAGAGGAAAGGGTGATGCACAAGCTGTTGTAAAACTACAAAAACTTTACACAACCTGAGGAAGTCAGACTCGCAGACCCTGCTTCTTATGAGGGGACTTTAATCTCCCTGACATTCACCAGGAGGGCACTGCAGCTAGGTCCAAACAGTCTGGGAGGATTCTGGAGGGTGTGGAGGATAACCTCTTAGCCCAACTAAGGCAGATAGGTCAACAAGGATGACACTTTCATGGACGTGGAACTTGCAGACAAGGAAGAATCCATCAGGGATGTGATAACCAGTGTCAGCCTTGCCTGCAGTGTCCATAAGGAAGTAGAGCTCTTGATCCTGAGGGGAGTGAGGAAGAAGAGTGGCAGAATCCAGACCCTGAATGTTAGAGGAGCAGACTGGGCCTACCGGGTCCAGCATCCTCCAAGCTCGAGAATGGCTCATCCTGATACTCAGGCAAACAAGCAGACATCTCAGGAGACAGGGTGGCTAAACAGGGAACTCGTGACTGAGCTGTAGTGAAATAGGGAAGCATACAGGAGAGAGGCTGCAAAGGAGAAATTTAGAAATATTGTCCACGGAAGTAAGGAAGCAGATGGGAAAGCCAAAGCTCCTCTAGGATTGATGCTTGCAAGGGATGTCAAGAGCACAAAGATGATCTGCTATTGTTTCAGTAACAGTAGAAGCATAAACAAGGAATACCATAGTGTAATGGAGCAGGGAAACTGGTAACTGCAGATAGGTCTGCGGAACTCAATCCCTTGGCTTCATTCTCCACCAAGAAGGTCTCCAAAGCCATAGTGACTAAGTCAGGACTCCCAAGGACAAAAGCAACCAGTAGTGCCTGAGGGTCGAGTCAGGAATTATTTGCAAGAACACAAGTTTACAGGATTAGACGGGTTGCAGCCGAGGATGCTGAGAGAGCTGGCTGCTACCTAGTAAGGCCATTCCCTATCTAATCTTTGAAAGCTGTGGAGACTCAGGGAGGTCCCAACCATGGGAGAAAGGTCAAAGCTGCATCCATCTTCAAAAAAGGCCAAAAGAATAACCTAGGGAATTACAGGCTGAGAGGATGGCCAAACATTGCAACATGTTGCCCAGAGAAGCTGTGCCATCTCCATCCCTGGAGGTTTTCAAGACTGAATCAAGCCCTCAGCAATCTGACCCAACCCCATAGCTGACTCTGCTGTGAGCCCAAGGCTGGGTTAGAGGCCTCCTGAGGTCCCGACCATCTTGAAAGATGCCACAATCCCTTCCCCCAAGGATCTGCTCTTGTCAATGTTTGCAAAAGCACTCAGGTCTCCTTGACCACGGAAGTAAGTCAGACACACATATGATCAGATTAAGTAGCTTTCCTGTCCTGCTCCAGTCAGAGATGTTCAAGTGATGGCAGGTACCCCTGCACAGCCCTGATCACTCCTTTGCTTCACCTTTTCACTGAATCACAGAATGGCCAAGGTTGGAAAAGACCTCTGGAGATCATCTAGTCCAACACCCCTCTGCTCAAGCAGGGTTCTCTAGAGTACATTGCTCAGGATCGCATCCAGATGGGTTTTGATTATCTCCAGAGAAAGAGACGCCACAACCTCTCTGGGCAACCTGTTCCAATGCTCTGTCACCCTCACAGTCAAGAAGTTTTTTCTCAGGTTCAGATGGAACTTCCTGTGGTTCAGTTTCTGCCCATTGCCTCTTGTCCTGTTGCTGGGCACCACAGAGAAGAGACTGGCCTCATCCTCTTGACACTCCCCCTTCAGATACTTGTACACGTTGATGAGATCCCCTCTCAATCTTCTCTTCTCCAGGCTGAACAGGCCCAGTGCACTGGGGAGCCCAGAACTGGACACAGGACTCCAGGTGACACCTCACCAGGGCTGAGGAGAGGGGCAGGATCACCTCCCTCAACCTGCTGGCAACACTCTGCCTAATGCACCCCAGCAGACCATTGGCCTTCTTGGCCACAAGGGCACACTGCTGGCTCATGTTTAACTTGTTGTCCACCAGCACTCCCAGGTCCTTCTCGGCAGAGCTACTTTCCAACAGGTCA